CGGGATTTTCTTGACATACGTGTTGGGAGAGCGATGCACAATGAATGCGAAATGTAGCTCCAACTGCTACTAGAAGTTGGGTGGATTGAATAATAAAAAGCTTCCATCGGGCATGGTAATTCAATTAGGGTGACTTAATGATAGTGTGAAATTAAGGTGTGAATATCATTATGTCCATGTTACATTATTATGAGAATGAGGTTCTCCCGTTTATTAGAATAAATGCATCACTTTTATATATTTAGATTATTAACCTACTTTATGAGTGTTAGCCTCATGTCAATATGCACATTGCCTCCTTCGAGGGCTTTAACAATCAAGATACTAATTTAGTTAGATTATCAATTACGCCAAAAAGGGTAAGTTATAAAATTAAATTGTTACATGGTACCCTTAGCGTTAGGCGACTCCTATTTTAGGCAAAAAAGTATATCGAATATTTTAAACATCAGATATTTTGTATTAAGACTATGCTAATTCCAGGAACGGTATTATTGAAATATAGCACTCGCAGAACCTAGTCAGTACTACGTACGTACGTATAGGGATGGCAAAAATCATTATTTAAATCAAATTTTGATTTAAAATGATTTACAAATGATTTAAAACATTGATCTTTATTACGTAATTCAATTATTTATATTCAATTTTTGACTTGGAATTGGATTTCTAAATCCACAGAATCTCCGATGCAACAATAGTGTTCTACAAAGGTTATATCTTTTAGCAAAGCGTAATAACAAAAGATTAAATCTGCATTAAATTGGTTTAAAATAAAAATCAGTGACTTATATCATCGTGATTTAAATCACATGCCATCCCTACGTGAGTATGTACGTACATACATCCTACATACAAATCATTTAGTTTTAAGAAAAGTAAAAAAGGTGGCGCGACCTCTTGAAATGATAAAAATTAACTTTTGAATGTGATTTTTTTCGCTATTCGTATATAACAGAAGTTTGCTTTCTTTTGTCCGCAGATATTTTCTTTTCTTTTTCGAAGAAACCCAGCTTTCGTAATCGGGTTCAATTCATGATAATATCACTACCGCTACGAACATAATCTCAGTTAATTCTAGATTTGTTCACAATACTTATAATGTCTACACATTCGGCAAATCAAATCAATAATCCTGAAGAAATAGTAGAATTCACAAAAAATTCAAATGATGATATTGTTACAAATGCCAATGAAAAAAGACTATTGAAAAAGGTTGATCTAAGAATCATTCCTGTGCTTACGATTCTATATACTCTTTGTTTCTTGGATAGGTATATATTAGTTTAATATAATTAAAATTCTATCTAATTAAAATTTTTGTAACAAAATCATTATATTACGTATTTTTTTTTATTGCTTTAGGGTCAATATTGGGAACGCGAAATTAGCCCATTTGGAGCGTGATCTCAATTTATCTGGAGATGAATATAACTGGTCTTTAGCCATATTCTTTTTGTAAGTCTTTTTTCTCTATTATTCTAGATAAATGAATTGTCTACTTTATTGTCCTTAGTTTCAGAGTTTAAATTGTGTCATTTTACGTTTGCAGAGGTTACGTAGTATTTGAAGTGCCATCTAATATCTTGCTAATCAAGATCAAACCTTCAATTTGGAGTGAGTTATTGTTATACGTTATACAATATATTAGTTGATTCGATGGATTTTATTCTCATCGTTCATTTCATTTTATAGTTTCAACTCTCATGATCGCATGGGGTATTGTAATGACAATAATGTCATTTGTAAGTGTTAATGATATACATGCTATAGTATATATTTTAATATTTTAATACTAAAGCTAATCAACTCACGTTTTAAATCATGAATTGTTTTTAAGGTAAGGAATTTTTCTCAATTGATGGCTGCAAGATTTTTATTGGGCGTTTTTGAATCTGGTCTTTCCCCTGGCGTCATATATTACATTACAAAATGGTACAAGAAATCTGAACAAAGTTATCGTATGAGTTTGTTTTTTTCGGGTGCTACGATTGCTGGTGCATTTAATGGTTTTTTAGCATATGCTATTGCGGGTATGGATGGTAGATTTGGTTTGAGTGGTTGGCGATGGGTAAGTATATGTGCATATTTCTTGCTTATAACTTTGTCGGTTTCTTTTAATTCGATTATACATACCATTTCATTTTAATTATTTAATTTCAGATATTTCTTATTGACGGCCTGATGACGGTCGTCATTGCATTTTTCTCTTACTTTTCACTTTCGAATTTTCCTGAAAATGCTACTTGGCTTTCAGAAAATGAAAGAAAATTGGCAATTGAACGATTACGACATGATATGGGAGAAGCTAACACAACTCATTTTGATAAATCTCAAATTTTCCAAGCTTTTAAAGATTTGGTAATTTTTTATAAAAAATATTATTTGCGCTTAACCTATGTAAAATAACTTACACTTTGTTTTATAATTTTATTTTATTATTTCTATACGTATTTAGAAAATCTATATATTTATGTTTATATTTCTTTGTATGCTTGCTACATTATATTCTTTCGCTTTTTTCGTTCCATCAATTGTAAACGGTTTAGGATTTAATACTGGTAATCATTGATAACTTACTTCATTATTTCTGATTTGACAATCGTCAATAATTTATTTTTATACCATTTTTTTTTATTAGCTGTTTCCCAACTACTTTCTATTCCTCCATATATTTTTGGATGTATTTCATCAATCATAATATCAATACTATCTGATCGTCATGGAGTTCGCGGTCCATATTTAGTGTCTTGTTTACTAGGAGGAATTATAGGATACATTTTACTCATTATACCGAGTGATAGTGTTTATTGTAAGTGTTTTACTTGTAAATTTATCCTTAAAAATGTTTCTACTCATTATACATATTATTTTCTATTTTTAGTGAAATATACCGGTGCTTGTATTATTGGAATGGCTATGTCCCCATGCGTCCCTACATCACTTACTTGGTAAGTCTCTAATATATCTATCATAAATTTTAATTTATATCCTGTATTAATTAATTTCTCTAACAAAAAATTTTTTACAAAAACACCATCATGTATATAATAAGGTTAACAAATAATCTGGCGGGTGACGTGAAACGTGCTGTAGGCTGCGCAATGATGGTAGCCTGGGGCAACATCGGCGGTGGAATAAGCGCGCAAATATACAGATCCGATGATGCTCCTGCTTATAAGACTGGTCATACTATTGCAATATCATTTGTAGTTGCTGCCGTAATTTTATCCATAATTCAATATTATTTATTGAACATTGCTAATAAATCTAAGCTTAAAGATTCTGAAAATTCTTTAAAAAAATTAAATGAAGAGGATGTTATGCGTTTGGGAGATTTACATCCTTCATTTATTTATAGGTTGTAATTACAGTATTAAATAAAAAAAAAATCACTTGATTAAAGACTTTTATGGCTATTGGCATTTATATATATTTCTAACAATTTTTAATCATTGTACTCTGCCCCAAATATATGCTTATTCCCCTATTATAATGAAAATACAGTATTATATAGTTATTACAAGGGGTAAATGGGAGCCACCGGCGCGCCCCTAAATATATTTTTTATATACGTATTTTAAAATTTATATCGATTGTAATTTAAAAATTATACACATCAATTAAACTTTATATAAATTGAGAAATGACGAAGAATTAATAGCTAGACTTATAATTAACGCTGTTAACTTTGTGTTTTTTTTTTAGAAAAATATGTGTTAAAAGTTAAAACACACATTGCAATAATAAATACCAGCATAAAATCACGAATCCGCTGTTAAATTCATTACTTACTATTGAAATTGTGAACCTATCAACTAGGAAAATGTGTAGCATCGTGCGTCCGGAGCTAATATCACGAATTTAGTTTTATATTTATCATATAAAATATATACATTTAGGATAACTTATATCATATTAATACAATATTTTAAATAAATGGTTTTTACTATGCAATACAGTAATATAATCATTTGACGATCAATATTAATATATACTGTACGTATCAGGGTTTGATTATCTATAACACCATTACTCCGTAGTACAACATAAAGTAGCTGCGCGACGCTGTCCGCAAAACCAGGAATGTAAATTTATGAATGAGCTAGAGCTATTTATACATTACAGGCAGCTTTTCTAAACTGGACTTAATAATTGTTTAAAAATAAAAGATTAAATTGCTTCGATTAAAAAAATCAACAATAATCGATATTGGTTACTAATCGATATACTACCGATTAAAAAATAATCGATTTTGATTTGTTTTGATGCCAATCGATTTTAATCAAGCGATACTAATAAATATTAATCGATTTAATCAGAATCAATTGACTCTAATCTGTATTGCTGGCAATCGACAGGGGTGCTGTTTATTGATTGACATTTCCATCTGTCAATCGATTGCTAACCCATTTAAAATTTTCCTGATGAAGTTATGCTTATGCATTATAAATTTTAGTAAATCTTAAAGCTTGCTGTAAAATGAATTAAAAATTTTGTGCATAATTAATAACAAATGTAACTGCTATATTATATGCTAAATACCATGAACCTACCTCTATTTGAAATCATTAACCTAATGATAAAATCATAAGCAAACCTATTGTTAAAATCATGAACCAACTATTGTTGAAATTACCACCTATTATTTAGCAAAAATATCCTGACCATAACAGATACAGGATATGTTCCTCTTAGTGTGATTACTTATAGATCAAATGAGATATCTTACTATAATTTTATATGAAAAAAAAACTTTTTTTTAATTTATTTAAGAAGGTAATTATAAACATAATTTTAAACTTTAATTTATATTCTTTAGCATTTTATCACTCTTTATTTAATTTACAGAGTTAAATACCAAATAGTCTTGGGAAAATCTTGATTTAAAGTTGTTCAATTCTTTACTATGTTCTTTAAGTCAAATATCTGATCCACCCAATTAATTATATTGTAAGACAAATGGCCAAGTGGATAGGTTTTTTAGAAGAAATTCAAGATAAAGAGGTTTTTTATTAGATCATTAAGACTTTGAGGCAGTAGGTGATGCTTTTTACAAAGTTCTTTTATATTCATTTTTATACTTCTTTAAGACTAATATACTAACAATCTATTTTCTAGATTCTTTTCAAAACTTATTACAATCCCTTCTTGTTACAAACTTATTTGAAATAAATTACTATTCTAATAATGCTATGCATAATAATCTATGTATAACAATAATATACATAACAACTAATGCATAATGAAATTAAAATAAACAGTAAAGTAGAAACTAAATAAATAAAATAAATAAATAAATAAAATAATAATAGTACTTGTATTCATGAAATGAAAGGTTTATTGGTATTATATGATCATTGTAGTGCATCATAGTTATGTGATAGTTGTAGTGTATAACATTATACTAGCAGTTAGAGTTGAATTTAATTTTTATATTACAATATTATTGTCTAAAATGATTTTTTAAAAAATGTAAAAGATAGGGTTTGGGTCTCATAGCTTAGTGGTTAAGCTTCCAAACCCCCACAGACTAGGTCAATGGTTCGAGTCGGGCTGAAGGCAAATTTTAATAAAATTTGCTTCTATAATCTACAGGGGCCATTAAATCAAATGCAAAGCCCTGTGTAAAGTCCAAGTGTAGTATGAAACCAGAATAAAAAGTTTCTGGAAGAAGACCAGATCATGAAGTATAGGCACTATGTGTGGTGCGATACTATCAAAGATTAGGAAAGTTACTCAGCATAGAGGACATAACCTGTCTTTGTACAACTAAAGGAACCAAATTGGGCTCTGGTCACACCTATATAGAGTCTATGATGAAAAAAGTTAAGAATTCACCAGTATGAATACTACCACCAGGGTTGAGATACCCCAAGCTGGAAGTAATACAATATGTATAACAAAGGTCTATGGCTGGAAGAGATACATCTTGAAACAAGTTCTTAACGAATACTATAACAGGAAGTATATAAAAGATAAAAAAAGTACACAGCACATAAAATAGCAAAAAAAAAAGAACATTAAGACCTGTAATTTGGGGTAAGAACTAGTGAAAGGTGGATGTGGAGAGTTTGTAGATGTAGATTTCATTCCCGCTATAGGCATACCAATTTGAAAGGCCTTTAGGAATTAATAATCCAAGTGAACCAAATTGAAGTTACTAAGATTTGATTGTGAGTCATAGGGGAATACAGTTGGATAACTAGAATTAGTTAGTTGTAAAGCACAAAATCCAAGTAAAGACGTAAGTGAGATACAGAATACTATGGTAGGTTTAGATTACGGATAAAGTAGTCTGAGTCTCATATCTGAAATTAATTTGAGAGTAGGCATATAAAAATATATAATACTTAAGAATTAATAAAGATTAGAAGTTTGACCTCACCTTAAATATAAAAAAAAAAATTGTAAAAGATTTTATTAAGCAAAGATCTCTTTGGCTTCTAAGTAAAATTGTAAAGAAGGTTTTTCTTTTTTTAACAATAGTAAAATTATCAAAATTGACTTGGTGAATCCCAAGATTTTTAGAATTAAAGACACAAATATAGAGATCTGTAAATTGGTAATTACACAAAGTATTCTTATAATCATACTTTGTATAACCACTAATTTACAGATCTCTATATTCACATCTTCTTGAAATTTACCAAGCTAATTTTGATATTTTAACTATTATTAATTAGAAAAGCCTTTTCTACAACTTTACTTAAAAGTCAAAGAAGCCTTTACTTAATAAAATCTTTTATATTCTTTAAAAATTATTTTAACCAATAATATAATTAATTGGGTTGAGTTAGATATTTGATTTAAAGAATATAGTAAAAAATTAAACAACTTTAGATAAAGATCTTTTTAAAATTATTTGGTGTTTAACTTTGTAAATTAAATAAAGAGTAATAAAATGCTAAAGAATATATATTTAGAGTTTAAAATTATATTTATAATTACCTTTTTAAATAAATTAAAGAAATATAATTTTTTTTTATAAATTTTACATATAAAATTATATTAAGTCATCTATAAATATAATATTTTAAGCTATTTTAATAGAACATATCCTGTGTCTAATATATATATAAGCAGAAACTTCATTTCTGCTAATATCCAATAAATCAGAGTATTTTTATTACTAATATATTTTCTGATCAAAAAATTATAACAGCTTTTTTACATTAAAAGATTGGTAAATATTTTTAAGATCCTAATATTTTTATATCTCCTTTACAGAAACCTATGTTTTTTGCTAAATATGTTTGCAATATATCTATAATATATCAACTATATAATTATTATATGATCTAAATAATTATATAATAAATACATTATGAATATATATTAAACATATAATAATTATATTTTTTGTCTTTCTGTTAACTCTCTTGTAACTTCATTACAAATAATATTTTTATTATATAGATATAATTTAATTTTATGTATAAAATAATCTGTTGTTAATCTAATAAAAATATAATCAAAATATAATTAAATAATATTATAAAAATATGATAAATTTATAATAAAAATAAAAAAATAATATCATAAATATTTTGAATTTGTTATATATTAAAAATATAATTAACATATAACTTTAATATATTTATTATCTAATTAATTTATTAATAAAAGATTTTTAATAGATATAATTAAAAATAAAATATAATTTTATTGTATATTAAAAATATAATTATTACACAATTTTAATATGTTTAAAATATAAATAGAATATGAATTATTATTTTTAATTATTTACAAAGACTAGCGCTAGTTCAAGCTAATCTCAAACCAGAAACTAAATATCTATAAAACTAGTTACAAGACTGATTCTTATTCAGTTTTTTAAAAAACCCGAATTTTTAAATTTTTATAATTAAACTTCAAATGCTAATAATTACAAATTTTATATTATTTATTAATTTTATATTTTATATACAGTGTATATTTTTTTATATT